ATAATTGGATTATCGCGATATTAATAGAAAATTTTTCCAATAACAATTCATATTCCTCTCGAGGCGCGATAACGATTTAACCTGGAAGGTAAATTCTGCCACTCGGAGTGGCAACGAAAGGAAGCTGTTTGCCCGCAAAGCTCTCTTGGCTCCATTCTTTCACCGTTGAAAAAGTTGCCGCGTCAGACTCGAATATAGGATTACTTTGGTGCCCTTTGAGGATAGGTAACGTGATAACTGTAAAGGGGCGAGAACAAAAGTACAAATTTTTCAGAATCATCGGGCAACAGCTTTCAGACGGCACTATTTACCATCTCTTTTTATCTCTCTCGTTTCGAGTACCTTTTCATGAATTTCATCCCACTTTTCTCTGTCTCCTTTATCCCCGTCCCTTCAGCTTGCATCTTGTCGTTTCTACGCGAGTGTTTGCGCTTTCATTCGCGAGATATCAGCTGGAAAAGGGTGATACTTGGAACAGGTGTCTGTCGAATCGTCGAACTAAATGCACTTTCGAAATTTCGCGGAAGAAAGACTCGTATGCAAACAAAAGGAAAAGGCGTGGATGGAAATAGAAAAAGAAATACCTACTCGTCAGAGGATCTTTTTCTTTTCCAAGGAGACTCTGTGGAATTTTTATTAACCACTTGAGGTAGCTGTTTATTACACTCAGGTGTGGTTGAGAAATGATATAGCCAGCGAATGAGATATAAAAGTAAAGCGGATGATCGTATATAAACCATCTCTCCGCGCAGATGAGCCTCTGCGAAAAAAGAGCTGATTCTTCTCCGGGGTTAGTCACATATATTCCCAGAGAATTCATGCAAAGTGTGCTTAAATACGTTTATAGGAACGACTTTTATCTTCAGCGACAATGCGGGGGTTAGAGCGAGTGATATGGAACAAAGTTAATCCAGTTAAAACTTCCAACGAGCTTATTCCTCTTTGTTAGGCTTAATCGACACGTTTTACTTATTTCATTTCCTTTTTTGGTATTCGGGCTAACGAAACACGCTGCTATGGAACGGTTTAAAAAAACTCACTTGTTTCTTACGTGGACGTCTTTTGAAGGTGCTTCCGCCGGTTAACCCTTTCACCTCTGGATACCTTCCCGAAATTTACGTTCAGTGAATATTTTGCTATTTAATTTTTTTTATACTTCAGATACATCAAAAGATATGAATCAATAGCGATAAAAAAAGAACCATTTGAACGATTTCAAATATTTTAAACTAATACTTTCGATTTTTCCCGGCGAAACTGGTCGAGTTAATGCCGCGCTCGAGATAATCCCTTTGTATATACACGAAGCGCGATCGTACATTCAGTCGTTCTTGAGCCTTCCTCGAATCATTCATCGGAAAGCCGGCTAAACGGAGTTTATTTCCAAACCGAGTATGTATATATTCATATTCATATTTGTAACGTTCCCGTCTCGGAAATTTCCTTATTTGGAGTTGGATGCATATACTCGGCAGAGACCAACGCGAAGCAAGGGCGCGGTCTGTCCACGATAACCAACCTCCTGGTGCTCCCTACGTTAGCCATACGTAGGTCTGTCCACGATAACCAACCTCCTGGTGCTCCCTACGTTAGCCATGCGTAGGTTCGTCTCCGCGTCTACTTCTTTTGGCTCCCAGTGTTAATAACGGCACTGGGTAAGCCATTAACAATGCCATAACCGAAATTAAGCTCCGGCTACGCAGCCGCCCTTTCCGGTTCGTAACACCTTCTAGAATCTTTAAAATTTTCAAAACTTTTAGTACATGTGGATCGATAATCCACAGTGTACATTTTCATTCAGACATATAGATGACTGTTTTAGATCATAAAGAATGTTTCATCGAAACTCACATGTGGGTTCGTAGCGAAATGATTGCGGCTACAGAAGGATTGTGTCTAAGGTGAATACGAGAACTCGATGTTAGCTTCGGTCGATTCGTTCTTTTCTTCTTGCACATAGACAGGAAGTTTCACGGATAATGCGGCAAAGTTGCGGAACGAGAAGTCGGAGAGGAAAGAATGGAAACAACGTAGGACAATTGGCGGGGGAAACATTCAGAATTTTGCGGTGGAAACTTAAAATGGGTTCTTTACCACCGTTTTCTAGTATAGTTGCAACTCTTTCAACTATCTCTATCGAATGTTTATTCATTGATTTTTCCTTTAGTCTATAAAAGAATCTTGTTTTTTCGTGTAATTCATTTTCAGAATCAGAAAGTCTAAATGGTTTTTCACATCGTCGCATCAGACTGTCTTTATACTAGAGGTGTTCGCTTCGATTGTTTGTGCCAAGTCGAGCGCTTGAATTTGCCGAATTACTCGAAATCGACAAAATGTTTGAAACAAAAGCGAGCTACTCGAAAAAATCGAACTACTTGAATATTCGAGTCGTCGTAAAACTTCGATTTACTTGAAGATGAATATTCGAGTAGCTCGCTTTTGTTTCAAACAGTTCATCGAGTAATTCGGCAAATTCAAGCGCTCGACTTGGCTCGACCGACCGATCACTGTTTGACTCGAAATTCGAATACTCGAATTTATACCTCTACTTTATACCTAGGTAAATAGTTCTACATATACCATTCCAGAGGAATTCTATTAGAGGGTTTGAAACTCGTTAAACAAGCAACTAACCAAGATAGACCATGAACGAGATACTTAGTTAAAGTTCTCGAAAGGAACAATCGAGTCAAGAATGCAACTTTCGATTCGTCCAGGCAAGTGAAACAAACGTTTCGAGGTTGCTGATTTCCAACGAGTCTAAAGCAATCGCAAGAAAAGCGTAAACGGTCTTCGTTGAATATTTAAACGTTGGCTCTTTCCTTTTAACTTCTGTTTTCTTCGTCCGGTTGAACTTTTCTCTGGGCCAAGTCGAGAGACTACAGTCTCCAACTCGTTTCTCATACATTCCTGTTTTTTCTTTTCTTTTTGTTTTTGTATCCATACCACCGCTCTATTTCACCCTTCGTTTCTCTTTATCTTTTTCCCGCCCAAGAAACGCCCTCGAGGAACGTCAGCTTTTGTCGCAGAGGTTACGTAGAAAGAAATATCTGTAACTACCTAACACAATGCACTTCCGGTTCGTAACTTACGTATATCCTTTCAGTATTGTCTATACCGTTCCTTCGTTTTCTCGCAACGATCTTTCCACGGTGAAAAACCTGAATGTTCAATGAAAATAATTTCATGAAATTGACCGAACGCAGGGGTTGGTTGAGGGGTTAAAAGGAAACCGGAACAGATCGCTTAACGCGACGATAATATTTTACCCGTGTCTTTCGTTTCTTACCCATGGGGCATACGACTGGTTTATATCGCGGTCAGAGTCCCAAAGTCGTTTCTCATACATTTTCTCCCTTGGAAAACATCCCTCCAGGGGCTGTCTAGCGTTCTTCTGACGTTCGGTAAATAGAACACGCTAGCGAGTGCAAGCTCGTAACTCATCCGGTGCCTGAATTTTGAAAAATCACCTGAAGTACCGTTCGTCTTCCTTTTAATCGCATTGAAATCAAGAACTCTTGATGTAATGACAAAATTACCACTTGACACTTTCACGACTGGGAGCTTACGTAGAATCTGCTTTTTCATATTTAAGTAGTAAAATTACTAATTTACATATTTCTTTTCAATCCTTTGATCGCCAAAATAATTCTACATGTTACTTTTACACGAAAAATGACCTCATTTTACAGCGGTACTTCAATTCCATTTGGATCCTACATATTGCAGCGGATGATATTAGAGTGACACTGTCGAAAAAATTATTTTTCATACATTTTCGAATATGGAGTACGCTTTTGGGAACGTACACTCTTGCTTCTTCTATTTTTCAAGAGACACGCACTTTCGGTAATATTGCCCGACTTCTACCAGTCGGCAAATAAATTCGTTTCCACGTTTTTCCCCGGAAGCTAGACGAATTTTTTTTCTTTTTTCATCCATGCACCATTTCGATTTCTATTTTCGATCGAACGTATCTGTTCCTCGATCGTTCCAAGCTTCGGAACTGCCTCGTATCTACGTGCCATTTTAAAAGGGGCATTTTATCATTCGAAGTATGCAGGTTTAAAACACGAACGATTGTTCTAACGAAGCTGATCGATACGGGCCATAATTTTCTATCGTATACGTGCAGTGTTTCAGGAAAAATCTGCGAATATTTCGACCTGGATGTCATAAATAGTGTTTGATAATTTTCGCAAATATTCATTTTAGTTATATATATTACACTATAAGTATAAATTTATTACTTTCGTCTAATTAGTGAATGTAAATATTATTAAAAACAACAATATTCTTTAACAAGACAAGATACCTGAGCTGTCCCGAAAAAATATATTTAAATGGACTGATTTCTCTCCAAAATTCCCATCAAGCATCCGGTATTTATGGCACATTGAACAGATAGGGGCTAAAAGCCAGGATGGATTTACGATCTAGTTCGGTTGGAAACGAACGAGCGGGAATGTATAGTCTTCATTTTGCACAAACGCAACTAGTCGGACAGACGGCTACAGGATGTTTTAATCCACCGTGTAAAACATCGAATTTCCTCGTCACTTTGGAAAATCCTTGTGGCTAGAGAGAACCACCACCAGTCTTCCACTTCTGGTCAGACAAAAACCGAGGTAACTTATCTACCTGAAGAGCCGGTAGAAAGTTGTAGCTGTTCCGTTTCTTCCCTCTGTGCGAGGTAATTCGTGTCAATTAGGGAGAAAGCGGTAGGACTGTCGGCTTACAATCAACGAACTTAATTATTAGGTTAACATTTAGACACTTGAATTTTCCGACTTTGAATTTTAGAAAAAATTATATTACATTCGTGGCGTCGATCATTGACGAATAAAATAATTCGAACCGTAATTAATATTTCAATTAATTTTTGTTTCAGATCTCTGTGCGTCTGAAAATAACACATAACAGAGATCCGTCACGCTACATTGATTCGAGGTATTTCAAGAGACGACCAAGAGAAAGAAATAGATTATTTTTCTACTTACCTTGCCGAAATCGGAGAGGCCACCGATGCGAGCCACTTGACCAGGTTCATCCGCTGTGCTGCATTCTGCCCTAACGAACCAATAGGTCAGTAACTCAATGGTAACAATTCTCAGCATTACCTGCCGTCCTACAATGCCCTTTAATCATAGAGTTTCATGTCCGTAATACTAAGCAACGCGAGCGGAATTTTCTTTGTCGGACTAATGACTACAGTGATTGCGGTACACGGTGTACAAACGTCTTGATTCCAGCCACGAATTCCTTTCATCGTTCAGCTACGACTCTACGTGCGGCAGGTATTCAGAAAGTTCTTGGAATTGTTTGCTAGTCATTTAAGTTGATACAATTCTGAGACCCTCGTGGAGTACAGTAACTGTATTTAAAAAGAAACCGAATGGAATAATAGAAATTCATGTAGAGATTAGTGCGAATGTTAATTCTATCGGCGAAGGATATCTGTATTCGCTATCTCGACGAATTTGTCGTCTATGATAACGTTGGCGCGGCAGATTCGTAAACATCCCTCACGTTGATAGGATTACGTAGATGAAACGTGCTAGGGGTAGACTAGGAGCTAACCCCGAGGAGTTGAAGCAATTCCAGGGCGATAATCGTCCGTATTAGTGTGCGATGCATCTAAGCTGGCAAACAGAACGCTAATTCGAATCTCGCTATGTTAGCGACCGGACGATAATCAGTCGTTGGATCGGTCAAATAAATCCGTGAACTTGATGAATTCTCCAAATTTTCAGCGTGCATGCATTTTGTAATAGAACGTCGTGGGGTACACAATTGCACAATTGAAGTTTTTCATAGCCTATTTATCTGCGTATCGACGAATCTCTCTCAAAGTCATAAAACTTGTGGTCGATACCGGAAATACCAAAACGCAGATAATATTGTTACGGTTCCATTAATCCGCGCGTAATTCATCGTGCTTCGTTTGTTATGTGATGTCGCGTATAAATAAACGACGACGCGACGACGGTTTTACTGGTGGCATAAATTTAGTAGTTCGAAGGGTAGTATCGATCGATCATCGATCGCGTTAATAATTTTAAACCTCGGCTATCAAATCAGTCTACCCTCAGTCAACATACCATCGTATATAATTTCACGTTATTTATTATAAATACTACTAACATGGATCATAGAAAAATTGAAATAGATGCAACTGTAAAGGGTTAATATACTCGTTTCAGACACAAAAGTCGTCGGTTCGTTCGAAGCTTTTTATCGTTTTCTCTCGTCCCTATTTTTCTTTTTCTTTTACTTATGTGGCTGTAAACGATGTCGTCTCGTAAAAGGAAATTCGTTCATTGTTTGTCCTAGAATAATATTTCAGCCGACGTCCGACGCCACCAGCTGCTGGGTCACGACCCTTACGTAATTCTAAATCTCTTTTTCACGAGTTTCCCGACTGAAACGGTTCCGACGTTGCCGCGAAAAAATATCGATACGCGTCCTCGATATCGTACACACACGTCTATGAATTTACTTCCTATCGAAACTCGGCCCCGATACGATTTCCTGTTCGACAGAAATTTTCGTAGATCTGTCGCGCAAACCGGGTCGTACTTTTCCTTCCTCTTTATATATTTGCACGCTGACAATTTTGACCGTGGAAATTTCCAGCTTTTAACGTTGAATGGAAATTCAATTTATTTGACAGTCGAAAAGATGTTTCATTTAAAAACAGTATACAGAGAAACGAATCGTTCTTTAGTATCTTTTTGATGCAATTATGAAGAGATTAGTGTTTATAATTTGCAGAAATTTGTTTGAGATGGTGGACTCAGTTACGAGTGATGGTGCTTATTTATTTTATATTTAAGCGATAGATAAAACGCGAGGATTAATTTTGTTCAATTTTTTTTTTTTTTTAAAGTGACAGATGAAACGTTCGTTGCGAAAGTTTCACGCTCGTATCTCGTGTTTCTCTATTGCTGCATCATTTATGAAACATTTTTATTATGCAACGATATAGCTGAGCCGGTGTTATTCGCTGTGCAATATACTGGCTATCCGGCGTATCTTTATTTCTTCGCTTCCGGTAATGCGTTCTCCTCGTGCATAAAACGTCTTGCAATATTTCTTTTGCCAAATCATCGCGTACGAACATGATGATAGCGCATTATGATAAATTATCGTGCACCATCGTTTATGAGCATCTGGATACTTTTCTTTTTCAACGAATTTAATTGTTATTCCAGATAGAAAATCTAACATAAATTGTATTTTTAATTAAGTTGCTTTCATGATAGTTTGATAAAAAATGAGTATTATGATTGCCCCATAAACGTAGCGAAAGATGTAGATCGATTACAAGGACCGATTATACAATCGGGCAGACACGCAATGCTATTTTCAGAATGCTGTTCGGGAAGATGCTAGCATAATTAGTCAGTATCTCAATTGGTAAACTCACCAAGGCGTGTTGCATTTGTGCGTAAGTGTGAGATATCGGGCACCCAACTCGTACAACATCCTCAGAACCGCCAGACTCGTTCCAACTGCGTGGCCCCCTTCCACCCCTATCAGGCTTGCTAATCTACCCTCCTTGTGCGCTCTCTCTATACCTGAAATCACACGTTAAATCTCCCTTCAAAATTCTCCATTGCCATTATTATTATTATCCTAATCGTACATACGTAGATATCAAAGGGTCTTTATAACTTCTCTTCTTATCACAAATTTTCTCAACTATCGATCGTTAGGCTAATTATTACGAACAAAGAGGATTCTTCTTCAAATATATTTATCTCTTCGTACCATAAACTTTTCTCATAAACAATTTTATCGTGTCTTCAATGGTCCACGAGATATTCCTGTGTTTACGGTAAACACACTGTGTACGTATCATTCTTCTTGAAAATTAATTAAACTTATCTGTCAGCATCGATCTTTCGCTTAATAGAATCATTTAAAGCATCCAATGGCAGCCTTTCGCGTAGGATGGGATAGCGTTATCACGCGGATCATTAATTACGGAGCGTAAACGAGGCACGATTAATCCGGCCACGAAATAATGGAACGGTAGGCTTTCGAAGAACGCTCGATACGTTTGGGAAATCCTCCTTGTGGCCGATATTTTGCCAGTATTTAACCAGCCTGCCGCGAATTCGATTCCCCGAGTGTCGGGTTTAATGGTTTTAATCGAAGCCAGGCCCGTGTAAAGGTGGTGGCCTTTATCGGGCTCCGTGAAATCGGATTCGCGGGCTCGGTGTCGTTCGTATTCGATTAAAACACCGCGTACAAATTGCGTTAGGTGGCCGCTTCCGGGATACATATATATATACATGTATATATGCATGTATACGATCGTGGGTGCGTGTCCGATCGAGAGGAATAGGGGTATGTTCAGCGTCGAAACGCCATTTGTCGCGGCAACTTGAACTTTTCCGCTTTCGACCGCACGCGATCGAACCAGCTCGTACCGAGTTCGCGTTAATGGACGGACGATCCTGTGGCTGCGAGAATTTACTCGTCGTCCGAGCGGGTTTCAAGCCTGTACCAGAGAATTCACCCAAGCCCCTTTACTTCCGCGCGATCTATTAAAACTTTGCCGCGTCTCGTTCCGTCGTAATTTCATTTCGATATACGCGAGCACTTTGCACTGATCCTGGCTGAAGTCATGATAGGGTCGTCGATAGACACTTGCTATCTTCTGCTCCTTGAAAGAAGACTATATTGCGACAGATAAGCAATTCTTTTTCAAAATACGGCTGAACTTCCGAATAGCTCCCACACCCGAGTTTCTTGACCGTGATATATATTATCAAGGACACCCTCCTGAGTAACAGTAATATAGGAGTAATATAGGTTTAAGTCGGCGACTATTGTTTATTCAAAAGTTATTAACAAAGAAATATCGATATATGTACCGCATATATGTACCGATAATATATATCAAGGTCAAAAAAATCGGGTGTGGAATCTATTCGGAAGTTTATCCCAAAATACTTCTGAAGGTAATGTTGCAACAATTCTGTTGCTCGCTGGAGCACCCTTTGTAAATCCAGCATCCGATCGCACCGCCATTTTTCTAGGTAACTTTAATTCCTTTCCCCGATAACGCTGCATTAAACACGAAATGGAAGAGCAGCTTGAAAAAGAAACGTGTGCCGTCGATTGAGTTCGATTTACTGCACCCTTTGATTTATATCCAACCTTCGTACTCACCTACACTTCGTTCACCTACGCGTCTGAGTTTCGTGTATGTGTTTGTGGTCAATTACATTTGAAATTTCGAGGGTATCAGTCGATCTACGTTAACGTTCCGAAACGTTTCTCCATTTCTTTCGAAATTTCTGATCTATCCTGTTCAGGTTGCATTCTTTATTCGAGACGCGTTGTATCGGTTCATTTTATATCTCGTTGAACCGATCGGTTTTATAGATCCTCCATTTCCTGTCGCGTTTACCTCACGTTACGAGACTGTAAAGGTTCTCTACCAGTGGATTCAATCGTGTGAAAACATTGTAAACGAGAACATCTGCAGTTCGTCTTTGTCTTCCTTCGGAAAATTGAGCTTCGGGTTAGACATCTTGAGTTATCGTTCTTTAGAGTTACGCTTTACCTTGAAACTTTTCAAACTGACACATTAGCAGTTGAGAATTCCAGCAAAAATTTTTAACAATTATTTTCAGTTATGGTTTTGAAAAATTTCTTTATTTTTATTATGCTTTGAAGAAAAATCTGTATTCTATTATATTTTTATAGTTTATTATGTTCTGTTTTATTATTAATTTTCATTGTTCAACAACTCCGAGAAAACACTGAATTAAGAGATGTTTAAATTCTATTCAGAGCTGTACGGATCAGTCAACGAGTGCGGCGCGTAGCGTTTTTACAGAGTCAAAAAAAGCTTGTAAATTTTGAACAATCGTTCTGTTTGTGCGTTTGAGTGAAGTATACAGAGGCTGTGTATTGCACGTCTATTTACATATGTATGTGCATGCCGACATGCAGTCGCCGCGGTTCGGCTTATCGAACGTGTGGTAGAACGCTCGGTATGGCTTGACATTTTTCCATTTCAGTTTGGAATTTACAACCGGCCGCGTCTTCCTAGTTATCTGACATTTTCTCATCAGACGCGTATTACATTCGCATTCTACTGGGGGGGGGAGCAAATTATTATCGACGAATCTTTTTGTACGCTTCGTTCGCGATCGTTGTTCGATCCTTTGAGGACTATGAACCTGTACAAGTTTTTTTCACTTTATTGGTCTTATTCGTAGTTTTTATATTACAAATGAGACCTCCTGAATCTACGAAGGGACCGTCGTGCCACGGAGGAACAATGTTTATATTTTCGGCGAAACTGGTAGAGTTGGTGTCGCGCTCGAGCAAGAGATAATCCCTTCGGATAAACACGAAGCGCGACTGTAAGTTCATTCGTCTGTGAGCCTTCTTCGAGTCAATACGCGATCCGAGTGTCGAACGAACGGAGTTCGTTTCTAAACCGAATACATACATATGTCGTAGTCGCAAATCGCGTAGTCAGTGAATTCTCGAAAACGAAAGCCGTTCGACGGTGGAGGAGCTGGAAGAACGACGTCCTCGGCGCGACGGCAAAAGCTTCACACGCGAAGAATATGAAATCGAGCTTGGGGGTCGACGAACGTCGGGAATTACCATTCGCTATTTGTTCGCAGAATGGGCCGTCGGAAGTTATACACCAGCAGAATTTCTGGCCAAGCGCCAATGTCAGGGTGAGGCTGGCTGGCGTAGCGTGTCGGCGAAAAGAATTTCACGAGTTTTCCGCTTTAAGAAAATTCAACGTATCGAAATCTTCTTGGTGCTCGACTTGTTCGAATTTAATTAATTCCTGCTTGCGATCAAGTAGTTGGCGGGGACGTCGCAGGCGTGGGTAATAAATGGCACCCTTACTCGTTCTTTCTTTCTTAAAACGTGCTTGGAAAACAACTTCGTTCTTCGTTCTTTTTCCTCTTCGTCCGTTCGTCCGAGATTTACGCGCGTACGATATGAAACGAACGAGGTCGACCAACGTCCCGAACTTACCGTCTTGTGTTTGCTTCCGGTTGCCCATTCAATGTCGTCCGCCAGGAGTTCCCTTGGATAGACGCCAAGCGTCGAACATCTCTGATCCGTCTTTCGACGTCGTGGAAAAATCGCACCCGCCAACCACTCGCCGTTATTATCATCGTCACCGTGAATACTCGTTCGAGAACTTGGAATCCATATCATAAAAGAAGACGCGTTCTCGCTTGAAAGTGGCCATCTTTTTCTTTCCTTATATAACAAACTACTTTTCGTCCAAGAGACTCCATTTATCTCGTGACGATTCATCGGATAATCCAAGAGATTCGAGTATTCAGGTGGGAGTAACTTATGTTATTACTAGAAAATATATTCATTCATTTCTGTATCCCTTTCAACCGAGTTACAATTATTTTGAAACACTCTGTACATCGGTGAACAGTTTCAAAAAGTTCCAAATATCCATCTAGTTGAATCTAGGTGAACATCGAAACATGTAGCGTTTGATTTGTGTAAGAGGCACTTAATTACCGATTGACAATTAACAATTTCCTATTTGAAACCAGTTTGGCGAATCTATTAAAGAGTGGTGAGTATACGTTTAACCGGTAACAGCAGGATGTTTCGCGTGGTATTCGATCCGCAGGATGGTCAGTTTACTTAACCTGATGATTTAATGCGAACTTTGAACCAGTTATCTAATTGCCTGAAAGTGGTGTAATGACTGTTTGGTTAGTAGGTACACAAAATTTGTTTGTTCACCAACAAACGCGTGGCCGAATCAATATTTCTGTTCGTTTGTCAGTCGGTACGCAACGGAGCGTTAATCGTGGACGAAAACGAGATTCGTTTCTTTCTTTTTTTCGGAAAGAAGGCAAAAAAATAGGGCAACGGTTGATGAAAATTCTTTGACGAAGCGGATGGTACGCCGGAGGTTGAAATCGAATCGCTTTGGCTCGCTGCCGAGAGAGTTTCTAACGCGATTGAAAATTGATCGCGACTCGTCGCGTGTAATGTTTAACCCTTATGCGACGCTCATTTTCATCCTTTGGCTATATGTCAGTTTCGTCGACAAACGACACGGGCCTCGATTCGAACTCCGCTCGTCAGTACGCTCGGTTTCTGTCGCATTGAAACGATCGGCTGTCGTGTAAACCGTTGCTTTGTGTCGATGCAACAACAACCGGGGTAAAGAGAGATACGAAAGGGTGACAAAGGCATAGAATTGCAGGGGAAATGGCCCACCTTCCGCTGTAGTAACGAGAACCATGCTTTCAGGATGCTTGTTGACCAGTCGGCGAACCAGGTCGATCTGCTCCAGAGCCAGCTGCACCGAGTCCAGGTGCTGAGACGAGCAAGGCACGTAAGCTGACCAGAACTGAAACATATGCAACAATCGGTGAGTCTTATTAAAAATATGGTAAGAGTTCCTTTTAGCAACCCCCTCCGATTGACTTAAAAATTACCAGTCAAACTTCTCGTGAGTTGTAAGTCAATAAAACGTTAATGTGGAGACGCGGAAATTTCTTTTTTGAGAAAAAATTTTTGTTGGGATTCTACAGAATGAGAAAAATGAGCAAAAATGAGAAAAGAACTTCAAAAAATAACCTAACCTAAACCTAAACCTAACACCTGTAGGCGTTTAGTGGAGGGAGAAGGTGAGTCTTCCCAGACGCCCTTAGCTCGGGTCGGCGACCACCAGGTGGCACTGGAATTGGATCTGTTCTCGCTGGCGGTCCCCCGGCATGTGATTCAGATATACAAGGTGATTCTCTTGCTATTTTACTCAAAGGAAGTGCCGCCACACCAGTATGAATGGACCCAAGCCCTTTTCTGTCATGGAAACGTTTTCACGGACACAGCTACAGTATGCACCCCCGTTGTAAAACCGGTTAGGTCCATTCATACTACATCGTGGCGGCACTTCCTTTGAGTAAAGTAGCGAGAGAATCTCCCTGTATAGGAGTTCCGAAAAGCGGGGTTATAGGCGTCTGGGGCAGGGATCGTCTGTCGCCAGTCCCTCTGACGATTCTGGCAGACGATCCCGAGACGGAAACGTCCTTTTCTCTCCCTACACATCTAACAGGATTTACTGGATATTTTTGCCATTCATTATGGCGACCGAGAGAACAAGAGATGCGAGATGATATTCGTAGAGTTGCGATTGAGAAAGCAAATGAGATGGAAAGCAAATGAAACACCGTAACTGAACTGTCCACATAAATCACGACGGTGAACAGATGTGATTGATTAGATGAATTTAAAATCTCGGTTGTTGTTGTTGTCTACAAGAGTAAGATGGTGGTGATGAAAATGGCCGCAATTTTTCATGAACCAAGAATTTCCGCGCCACGTGACTTACTCACGTCACTTTATTATGCATGAGAAGTTTGCCTGAGGATTTTAAAGTCAATTGAAAGGGGGTGTTAAAAGGAACTTCACCCAAAAATATACTAATGCATGAGCGTGTTTTCGAGAAGAAGCGAATAGTAGAAAAATTATAAGCCAGATGAGAAATTCATTTTCAACGTTATATAGAAAATTCAATTATATCCTACAAGAATTATTTATGCTCCCATGAGGGGGCATACATTTTACCGCTTAGTTAGTTTGCGTGATCATGTTTTTAATTATGAATCGAACGCGTCGCGCTTACGCGTGACGCGTGAAGTTTTTACGTTCGATTACATAAATCGGTGCAAATAGAAATTCTGTGAATACAATCCTGGATTGTACATCTCGATACACTACGGTAATAGACCGGCGCAAACGTTTATTTTCCCCGTTTCAATTGGCCGTCCGATAACACTTTGGAAATAATTAAACGGTGCATTACGAGTCCGAGCGGGAAACTCGTGCCGCTTTGAATTTTAAATGCGAGGGAGGATATCGGTGGCCATAAATAATCAGGTATTTTATCCTACCCTACAAGCCACTCGCAGTAATGCGTATCGGGATAAGAATATATTCGGTTACTTGGAATAAATTAAACCGATGTATCAGATCCTAGGATTAAACAGAAACTTGGCTATATTTCATTCGGCTTGATAAAGGAGCATAGGAGGGTTGAACGTGAGTTAGCATAAGAATCCTCCTAAAACGTCCTTTTATCGTTGTTGAGCGTGAAACGGGAAGCACGTCGTTCGATATGATTATCATCGTGACCTCGTGAGAGCCGGAAATAAGACCCTTCGATTCTTTATGATACCGTGTAGACCGTGTACGATAGTAGAGAGTATGCATATCGGATGGCTTTGAAAGTTTCTGCCTCGAGATGGGTTATTGATTCGATGATACCTTGTAAATGGAACGTTGCTTCGCTGTCTTGTCAAATTATTTGGTTATATAGAGCAGTGTTTCCCAAAATGTGGTACACGTACCACCTGAAGGACGGGAAGAGTTTGATGGGGGTACGCGCTGAATGAATTTTATGAATTTTATTTTACGTTTATTATTATTTTCTTTATATGCTAAAAAAGGAAAAAATAAATATATTTTGTTATTAAAGTATACGCAGTTTTTTTTTTACGAGGGGTACTCAGTGTTACGAAAATTATAGAAGGGGTACACAGATGTCGAAAGTTTGGGAAACACTGATATAGAGGATAAATCCTTTATTCCGTAGCTAGTGTAATATTCGAGTATCCTTAAATTCTGACGAAGATAATAGTTTAGCAATGATTGCAAAACGCTTGGAATATTTTCCTTATGGATACAGCTTACTCCGGAAAGCCTGAAATAGGATTAATTCTAATATAAACCGACCCATGAAAGCCTTAGAATTCTCATTTTCGAACATATTTCAGTATCAATGCGTCTACAGATCCCTGATAATACTGGCTGCGATGCCAGTGAAACGGAATATTCATCCTTCGGTATATGGCTTAGACCGGAATGCCTCTAATAATTCTGAGATACCATGCTCCGAAAGCTTCTCATTTTCGAAAATCATTCTCGTTCAATTTTTGCACGTTAAATGCGGCGATGAAAATGAATATTTACCATTTTACCACAAAATATAAATTTTTCATTTGGTACTTCATGAAATTAATATAAAATTAATGCTACCTGGAATTATTCTCAATTCTTTTGTCATCAAGTCTGACGACATTCCAGTAGAGGTTCGCGACACTTTTCTCTTCGCTACTTTTCTATGACTTCGTCAGATTTTCTGACAGAATCTTTACGAGCACGATTTGCTTCTCGTCGCGGTGGTTAAAAGCACTTGAATGTCTTGCTTTTTGCCTGTGGCTAATTGCGACACGGCAATAATTTAATCCCCCGTTGGAGAAACTTTCAACGATGAATCGAGGGGCAAACGACCTCGTCCAGAAACTTTTGATTTCCCGTTAACGCGATCGTTTCCCTGTTTCGTCACGGTTATTATCACGGGTAATTTCAACCGCGACAAGAATTTATTTTCAATTAACGACCGACCACGATCTTCTAGCTTTCCTCATTACGCGAAAGAGAAATGAAACCGTGTCTGAAAACGGTCGTTCACAATTTTTTCCCTCCCTTCGGATCGTTCCTCGCGACGAGCTGTTTGTTGGAAGGTTCATTTAAATGTCGCGGGTCTTGTTTCAAATTCAACACAGTCGGAATTTTAGGTCAGACGTTTAATAAAAAAAAAACTCGTCCGATTATGGAAGAAGCTTCCCTTTTACTTTCGTGCTTCCTCTTTTTCCGTCGTTTCTTCTTTTCACCGTGGTGTTTCGCGCGAAATCGAGCAACAGTCAGGGTCGAGTTTTAGGTCAGACGTTTGTAAAAATATTCACCGTCTACCCGGTGTAATCGCGTCGAGTTGTGTTCCACTTTGCACTCGTAACAGTTTCAATTCTATGCAAAGAAATTTTATTCTCGAATCAAATTTATTGTTCCCGCTGAGAGATAAGTTTTACGCTTATTTAAATTGAAAAAGTTTCATGATACTTTGAAAGTTACATAGTTGTATTCTTTTTTACAATCTTCCTAACCTTGTTAAATTTCACTTGAAAACGATTTACTAAACACGTGTATCGAGAACAAATAATCAGGTGATAAGTTGTTCAGACGACAGTGCGCTATCTATAACTGTACGTTCCGGTCCGACACGTGCATTCTCTTCGCAGTACGCTTTTATCGTGGAAGATACACAATTCCCCAAAGATCGAGCGTTCCGAATGGTACACACTCGAGTTATTTCGAACCGCTTGGAATTCACTTTTGGAATGCAGTCGCCGGGAACCGCGACCGATTGCTTGGGTAGGGGTAGATGTATGTACCATCCCCCTCGGCACAATCGAAAATGCATGCACATTGCTCTAGATTTTCGATGCATTAGTCTACGCACCCGTTCTACTCGATTGCGTTTAATCCCGCCTGGACTTTCGTCAAAAGTTAGCCTAGAAATGTGCTCTTAAAACTTCTAACAACTTACAGTGGGTGAACAAATAGAGCCATTCGCATAAATTGATGATTCTACATAAATATCATTAATTCTTAAATGAAAACCGAGTTAAACGGAGTTTTCGTTATTTTTTTATGATGTATTGACACTTGAAAAATTATGATACACAATTGAAAAAACTGAAGTTGACTGGCTTAGAAATTCTTCGAACCTCAACCCCATCGAAAATTTGTGGAAATGTTTATTATTAGTAATAAATGTCAATTGATTGAACGTTTGATAGAAGTATGGGCTCTATTTCTACACAAACACAAAAAACTCATTTTTCATACCATGGCTCTAATAATTTGATCACCCACTATAAGTATTTCATTTAAAAGTAGCGTTAAATTGCGTGGCATCAATTTAAGAAAAATTTTCATATCAAAGGGTTAATTTGCGTTGAGAGATCACCGCCTCGTGTGTCATCACGGTTATGCTTCAGTATCGAATAAATAAGCCGTGAATTCTTTAGCGTGGAAGCCGTAAGACGCGTTGAAAGGGTGGATTCGATGTTTTAAATTTACCGAGAGGGTTGGCACGAGATCAATGCTTGGTAACCTTTTCGCGACGGATGTCTTCTCTCCGTTTGAATTAACCAGGACAGTGATGGATCGAGCCCGGGACCAGTTTACCCAGCTCCTGTATACACTTGCTGTATGTATATTATGCATACATGCATCCACGTGGCGTTCGTCTCGGTGGACACAACAGCGAGGCTAGCCACCCCTTTCGTCTCTGCGAGCAAACTGAATGCTACGAGAGAGATAGTTTGACATTGAGAAATGACCCATAAAATTAGACGAATGTCTCGTATTTGTTCGCGTTTTAAACAAACGTTTCGAATTCAATAATAAACTCAATCTCGTTCTATCGGAGGAATTTATATCCGTCCTTCTTTATCTGTCTGAATTCAACTGAGTTGTTATTTGATTTATGTGGACAGAGAGAATTGTTACGTCAACAATGATGTAATAACAAAAATTACAATATTTATGAGACGAAGTTTGGACTTGCCTGGAGAGCTTCCCCAAGTATTCCAAGCAATATTTAAATGAAATTTTCAAATATCCTATGCACGGTTTTACAAATATTGTAGTTTCAATTTTACTGTTTGTCTACAAACTATACACGTATTTCGAGCTCGTATGATTGAAAGATTCCAAAAGTTTTTCAATTCAAAAACTACCGTACACACTTTCGCGTGAAAGTGATGCTCACCTCAGAGTGTATACAAACTTCGTTGAAACTTTAACAACTTAAACTATTAATTTAAATCTATGCACCATAAATTTCAGAATAACAAGATCTATTACCGTTCAAAAGTTCGTCTAAATATCGATGAAATACTTGTTAGAGAAGTCTGCCTATTAAATTAATGAAAACGTAACTAATTAATAAAATGTAAAATGAATTTATCGATGAAAATTTTGTTACCCCTCCCCCAAATAACCTGCACAATTATTTCAAGGTGCTGTGCATGGTTCTTGTTTCCTGAAACTTAGCTTACCGTAGATTTCTCTGGTAATTCATAGTCACGTTGGTCGGTGGCATTTCGCGTAATTACCATTCCCTCTTAATTATGGTATTAATTAAATTGGACCGTTGGTGGCCGTTACGGTGGCGCGTGTGCGGCCCTATAAGAAGCTTATTTGAATTTTACCCCTTGCCACGGTGACACCTTGACATTATCACGGGGTAGAGAGAAGTAATGAAGTTGCTCGCCTCTTCGAGCGGAACAAGCTTGTTTCAACGTTCGCCTCGCAAGCCTGACTTTTCAAACTATAGCCCTCTTTATCATGTGCCGTCTGTTAGGCCATAATCGCATCTAGACGAGCTTCTAATAAACGAGATCAACGTTGGAGGGTCTTTAACGACTCGAACGTAGTCAACTACCCGTTCGAAGGTGTTCGAGGTGAATTATCTCGGAACAGGATTTCCGTTACATTTCCTCGCTATATTCACTTGTACTCGTCGCCTAAAGAAAGCACACAGATGTTACTCCATCCGATGGAATTCCATTTCTGACGTCTTAAAGTTAAACCCCCTTTAGATAAAACGGAACTACCAGAGGCTTGTGTAGATTGTGCGGGGAATAGAGACGACAAGCTGTCGTGCCACCTCTATGTTTCCTCTCGAATGCTATCATATTTGATGTTCATCCGAAGGGACTTTGAATTTCGATCGACCGAAATTTACTGAAAGAGGATTCCAAGTGGATTTCAACTTGCTCGTGCCTAGCCTGTTCTGATTGAACTTTCAAAGTAATCGTCACCTTAACACGCGACACCTCTGCTTTATTTATTTCATTCGTTCATTTACAGTGGGCGATCAAATTATTAGAGCCACTCGCATAAATTGATGATTTTACATAAAAATGATTAATTTTTAAATGAAAACAGAGTTAAACAGAATTTTTGTTACTTTTTTATGATGTATTGATGCTTTTAAAGTTATGATACACAGTTGAAAAAAGTGAAAGTTCTTGTTTGGTCTAGAAATTCTCCGGACCTCAACCTCATCGAAAATTTGTGTAAAGCAATCAAAATGAATTGCTTAAAATCCATCGAAAGTATGTACGCCGAAAAGAATTGAGACAGTAATTGCAGCAAATATAATCTTTTAAATGTATTTGTTTATTTTTATAAAAAATAACAAAACCTTAAAATTGTGGCTCTATTTCTACACAAACACGAAAAACCCATTTTTCATACGATGGCTCTAATAATTTGATCACTCACTGTAGTTATTTGGAACATTTGGAACTTTCACATCCCTGTATTTTTCCTTTAATGCCTTCGTTTTGCACGGTCTCTCACGATCGTCGCATCACCTTGCGATAGTTACAAATTTCCTCGTGAAAGCAATTTCACAGGTAGCAAGTTTCATTCTAACGTGTGCGTGACGCGACGGGACGGGGATGGGACACACTTGCTGAAGAAAGCTGCTGCCAGAGGCCGAGTAGTCGAGCTTTAAATACACCCCATGGAAATTATAATCTACGTACCTTTGTTCGCGTGATATTGCTTAGCAGCTCGCTTTTTCCAAGCCTGTTTCTTTGAATACCATTTCACCGGGTCGCGAAACAGTGTCACTACGCTGGGAACGTAGACGTAAGAAACGGTTTTCATAAAATTCATGAAATGAAAATCAGGCTTTTAAAGGACGTGTGAAATTCGTTCACGGGCACGGGTTTTCTTTCGGTGTAATCGCAACGAGATAATGTGCTTGGTATACACGAGCCGTCCCGTTAAGAAGCGTCTTCGCCGTGGAATTTCTTGAGCAGAGGGAAAAGAAGAAAATTTTCTTTTACAAAAACGTAACGTTCGGATAGAAAAATCAATATCTGTCTAGCTAATGTAACTAGCCTTTCTCCGTATTTGCTCGGGAAACACCGAGGTAAGATAAATCGTGATCGCGATGGATGTTAATCCTGATAATGAGTTTGCTCGAGTTTTAGCGTGAAATTGTTGGATTAAAGTTCGACTTACTTTGGATAGTTGCCGTCAGGGGTAAGGAATCGTTTGTCGCTAGATTTACCCGATTAGTCGGTTGCTCATTTCCCAAAGTTCTTACGATCAGAAGGTTTCCCGGCCAATTGTAACATTGGCGTAACTTTTTTTTTCACTAATAACATTACCGAAATTAGGTATCGCAATTATTTAAATTCTACCGTTATTCGAATTTTCTCTGGTACAAATGAATATCGTTTGAATTCAACAATCGCCAGCCTCCATATCTGCATTTTTCCAACACATTCGCGAAACAGGAAAAGTGCCGCTCGTGATTTTCGAGTGGTTATAGGGCAAAGGTACGGAAGAAAAGATTTATTCGATTGCCGAGCAGGAAATGTAGTAGCTAGTCTTTTCGTTCACGAGGGCACGTCCGTCCCGGTGGTACGTGAACTTTTTGGTGCAAGCTTTTCATCAGCTCGGCCCGCGAAACGTTCTTTCTTGCCACGTTGAATGGCGGTCGATCGGAAACATCGAGAGTTCCGTGCAACTTTTTCTCCATCGCGGAAGTTGCGCGGAAACGGATGTCTGAGATTAATCGGGAGAATATCGGGGTGAACGACCAGCGTGTAGGAAAGTCTGGAACTTGGGAGAAATTTTCGTCAGCTCCTAATTTCGGAAAAACTCGCTGGAATTTAATCCTCGCATGGTCAATATGTACTTTTTTTTTTTTAATAAAGAGTCTATTAGGATCCTGAGTTGTACATGTGTTTATTAATTACGAAAGTTTGGAGGTTGATTAATTTTCTCGTTAATCGAATCGATTTTTCTTGGTGATCGCGTGCTACGAAGAATTAATCATAACAACAAGGCGATGAGCAAAGCAGACTTTCTTTTCCTTTGCATCGTTCTTAATTAATCGAGACCTCGAGAAATTACCGTGGCGCCGTAGAGGATGTAATTGAAACATTGTTAGACAAAGAGTCCGTTATGGAGGCACGCGATCCTCGCGTTTACGTTCGCTCGCGTTTCTTCCAAGTAATTGCGCGAACTTTAAATACCGAAGAAAGCAGTTTTTATTACGTCCCGAATCGTAATTCGTTCGAGACCACCGAAGACGACACGCGATATCTTCTCTTTTAGCCGACTTGCATTTTCTCTAATGGAAAATCGCGTGCTCTATTCAAGATTCCTGAGGCTTTCATAATCCGGATTTTCACGGCTACTCTGGAATTTTCTGGTTTAAATTGTGTAACATAGGATAATTAAAAATTCCGGTTTTACTCGATTTGATATAAAATATTATGATGCGCAAACTTTTATACGCTAGATAAAATTTTATAAATTTATTTTCCACCGATGGGAAACGAGGGGGTTTAATATTAATCCTTTTAGTAAAGAGATTGGTTTCGTAACGCTCGAGTTCGAGTGGCAATTTGAAAACCGATTAAAAATATAAAATTACGCGGGTACGCCACTTGATTCGAAAGAGGTTGAAAACTCGAAGCTCTTGAACGGGATTAATTAACGCCAATTGGTTAGAAGAGCTTTCTTACGATCATTTGAAAACGTATTGTTGTTCGATTTCCAAGATTCTCAAGATTTCCTAAAAGGAGGACACAAAAGATTGTAATTTTCCTCGTTGATAAATCGTTTCCGTGGAAATGGACGACTTTCAGGAAAAGTGTTTGAAACATCATCGCGGTGCTCTTTTGTTGAGAAAATTCGATAACAATAGTAGAGACTGCTCTCAATTCGACATTGTCTAACAGAATCGCGCAATATATGTGTATACAGGGTGTTCGACAACAGTTGGGAGATTTTTTAAGGGGTAATCCTAGGAATCAAAATAAGACGAAAATCAAGAATAACGACGTTCAGTCGTCGGTGCTGGGCAGGTTGCAGGTTTCAAGTGCTTTTAACTCGAATTTTTAAACGTTAATTACTGCAAAACGAAGCCGCAAACGGTATTTCGTCATTCTTGATTTTCGTCTTATTTTGATCCCTAGAATCACCCTTTAAAAAATCTCCCACCGTGTTTCCTGGGATTAATGTGTTTCGTGAGCATGTGGTGCTATTGCGGTTATTATTGAGCTCACCTGGGCTGCAACCATGCCTTCTTTCAATCTTCTGAGATCCGTGTGGCTCCAGGCGCTCCGTGACCACGGATGGGAGTCCCTCAGGTCATCAAACCTGAATTCCCTTAGCTGATTCTTCAGGAACTTGCGTATGTTCCATGGTAGGTCGTTGTGCCTGAAGCAAACGAACAGAAAGTCTATCTATAATTCATCGTTTCCCCTTAACACTGTGAAATAATCTTGTTCTGAATGACAAGCAACTGGTCCTGGATGCAAGAGCTCGAGTGTAGAAGGGAACAAAGTTTGTCTCTTACAATGGCCATTAGTCAAAGTACAAGTTCCGCGGTGGGTTCGGTTACCTTGCTTCCAGCTAGCTTCAACTTATTTCATCTGGAATCCTTGATTTATTTCCCGGGATTTGTATAGGGGGATGTTGGTCAAATATTGTCTGCCGGTTTCATCGAAATAGACGTCAACATGGCGAATAGAACGATATCTCGAGCGTAGGATGTGTAAATTCTATGTTGTTTGTCCTGTACCCCGAGGCAAAACCATGGTAATATAAATATTAATCTTTTGATGTTTTTATTTGCTTTCGATACGATCTGTAGATTCAGTAGATAGAGTCTCTGTGTATTCCTATTGAACCTTTCTTTACTATCGATTCCTGTAAACGATGGAACAGTTTGTTTAACAAGGAACAAGTAATTTTAAATTATTGACGGAAATTGCTATACGTCTATTATTTATTTTTCACTAAAATATAGAAGGTTAATGTCATTTTACATATCATTTTAAATATCATTTTACATTTTATATAGAAGGCGATCATTCTACAATCATTTTAGTTTTCATTAACATTTTGTACGGCTTTAATCCTCACTTTTTGATAATAATCGTCGCTACAAATTTACCATCTATGACTTTCCCAGACAAAGGGTTACCGAAAAGCAGAGAACGTTTTAAGACAATATCATTCTAAAGTCACCCTCGTTACTGCTAGAAAGATATTGTCGATGTAACAGGGAGACGAGACATCAAACTTTACGTCTTTAGATCGGCCGACATCTAACTAGCTGTGAATCTGCCCGGTTAACGTTCTCGTTTCCTGTTAATTCACTTAGCCTGATGTAGCCACGTATAACGAGCTATCTGATCTCCGGTTACAATTGATGTAACTACGGTTTCATCGTTTAAGACACCGCTTAAAGCAACGATGCCTCGCTCTCTGCGTTATCTGGCAACAGTTTAACAGAACTCGGGAATGTGTTCATTTAAAAGCTAACATCGCGGCCTTTCACAGCGTCGAGCTTTAATTAAACGGCGAAGCAAACAAGAAAATTTCAAACGAACGGGCAGACGGATAAAAAAGAAGGTTTTTGCTAAAAGGGCACGGTTAGAACCCTCGAAATGACTGTAATTACGCGAACGAGACGGGGCCAAGGCGTGACTCGTTCGAAATGCTATATTCCATTAAGGCATCGTATTATGGCTAGGATAATTCTAAGCACGCGTTGCATTCCTAATCTGCTCCATTCGGCTGACGCGTGCAAATTAACTCCCGCCTCTTAATCGACGGGGAAGACGAGAGTCTCTCGAGATGAAACAATTTGAATAATCGCGTGTAACAGCAGACGGAATTTTCAGCCGGCAGGAAGATAACGAAGTTGTGTATCCTGATAACGATTACTACGTGCTCCTTTATGAAAGCTCCAATTACCTTTCTGTAGGCGAATAATTAAAAGCGTTCGCGGAATTGTTTATCAAAATTTTTATTAATGCTAAAGATTGATCATGTGAAAAAGAGCACGGTTCAGCAAAATATTTGCGTTTTGCGTTGTTAATTTTGTGGATGATTCACAGATCCGTTCATTGATACATTGAAATATTTGTCTCGTTACGGCTGAACTCGGCGAATTCTTTGCTCGATAGTGCTGGGGTAATTGTGAAAATCCGTTGGGAAAATATTCGACGAATTTTAGGCGAGTCCGCGGAAAATAGAATGGCCAGGTCACAAAGGAATTTTGATGCATGACGGGAAGAGTGAATAGAGCTATGCTGGGGAGGAAAAGAGGGGGAGAGTATGCGTGCGTATTGTTACCCCCAACAAATCTGACCTGAATCAGAGATGGATCTCCGGACCGTTTGCCACCACGAACCGCACCACACGCTGGCTGAATGCACTTTGAACGTGCCACCAGAGGGGAATTTAACTTCGAACGGAATTAGGTAACCAAACGAGCAACCCTATCCCCTCAAGCTTTCACCCTTACTTGCCGAGCGATAACACGAAGGAAAGTTTTCAGGGATCAAAACTCGACCCCTAAACATTCTAACCGATTAAGAGCGTTAAGCTTTCACCGTATGTTAACTTTCTAATTCCTTGATGGAACCTTATTGTGTTTTACATTCGTTCGTACAGACCGAGATTACGCGAGCGTTCGCGGGCTTTGCACCCCATAATCAAAGGATCCGAGTTATTCATTTAATACTTCCCTTTGGTAATACTGACAAGGTTGGTAGAGTTGCTCGTCCAGACTATGTTTATTCGATGAGAAATCGAAATATGAAATGAAAATTAAGTGTAAAAGTGACAAAAGCATGAATTTGAGATGATTAGATGATGTTTATTAACAATTAAGATGAGTTTCAGGGAAATTCGCACTTAAAAATATGAAAATTTCAAAGTCCCATATCTGTTGGACCCGTTGCCAATGGCACCAAAATATTGCACCATAAACTCCTCGTTTCATGCTCTTTCGAATAAACATAATCTGGACGAGCAACTCTACCATCCACTTTTGACCATTCCCTTGTGAGACACAAATGAAATGATGTGGTATCGGTAATGAAATATCAATGAATAAGACCCGCAGATATTAACATTCGGACGGCGGGAATTGTATATTCATGACTTTGATGCATGCCCTTTTCACTCTCCTATGCACCCTATTTGCATCTACTGCATTCCTAATAATTGCAGTTTCAGGGCTATTATCCTAACATTTGGTTTGCATTAGATATTGTTTGTACACATTCGATTGTATACGATAGGAAACGAACCCTCTAGAATTATTCCTTTGCTTTAAATAGTTGGAGTATTTCAATCAATCTGAACTGAAAATGAACATCGATTCTTTCCATAGAATATTTCCATCGATCTAAGCGAATTGATATTTACCGGTTCACTTTCTAGCAGCTTTCCTTCCGCTCGGATAGTTTCGAATGATAATTGGATTTTCAGGCCGAACTCCTTCGCAGAGAGGGACTGATCCTCTGCACGTTACTCGGCATCGATTCCGCTTCGGTTCTTTGACTTCTGACCGGTCAGGAGGCGATAATATGAACGATTCAATTAACGATCGGAATAGGAAGCGGTAACAATTACCAGAATCAATAAGCGTTAAGGCTTTTCGACGTTTGATAGCGAGCGTACGTACGACCGCACGCGCAACTGAATTCGATAGAACGATTCCCTTATCGCGTGCAAGTCTTCCCTCTTTAGATACGTGCAAACCAAATAGCGCCAAAGTGTTCTCTATTGGGAACAGTTTGCTGCCAGTTGCTGTACATTGACGCGTTAAGAACCGCCACTAGTATTCTATGTACAACTATTGTTCAAAAGTTGTAGAACATCTTGTGTATTTTCAATACTCTACCATTCTATGTACCTTTGTCTTTAATGCGTTGATAGTAGAAATGATTGTACCACGATAGTACATTTTCATAGGAATTATTAAGAATATCATTCTTCCAGTTTTCAATTCAATTTTTCCATTTACTACTATCGATGGAATATTGAACTTTTGAAAAGCAATTACTAAAAAAATTCGCAATATTCGTGTTTGTCATTTTCTACAAAGTGTCAATTAATTAACGGTAGGCGATGACGTTCTAAATTTTCGTACAAAAAAATCATACTTCGTTTTTGTCACGTTCATTATTCACTATAGACGCAATATTTGCACTGCGATGGCCGCGTCATCGGCGTTTCAATTTTTAATTGAACAAATTTTGAATGTGACAGTATGACTCTTTTCTGGTAATAAAATTTGGAAACAACAATCAGAGGCATATCTGGATTAATAAAAAAACTGAAATGAAACAAAAGTATGAACGAATTCCGACAAAAGATCAATCCGTTTTTTTATTGCAGCAAAAATTATCCCTAAAAATGATCGTTAACGATACAGGAAAGTGTTCCGGGCGATTGGCTGACAGCCAGACTCCTGTTTGCACCCATCGATAACGAAGTGCCGTAAAAATTCCGCCGCTTATTGGTCATAGCCGAATTATTCTTCCTCTTCTTTTTCTCTTCTCTGCAAATTTCATCGATCGCTCTATGCACACTTTGAAAGCAAAAAGAAAAAAAAAAAACCCTCGTAACAGTTTCAGGCTGATCTCGTTTCTTCTCGTTTTACGCTCCTCTATTTCCAAACGGTCTTTCCGGCGCGATCGTACTAATTTCCATTTCGCGATACACACAAAGAACGTCCAAAAATTCCTGTCTCTTCGATCCTCGTCGCGGTGTCGTCGGAAAGAAAAGGAAAATCGACCACGTCACTCGACAATTTTATCAAACGATGTTCTTCCTGGGTAATTGGCCTAATTACCCTTGATCTCGGACACCGGAGCACCGAGATAACCGAAGAATCACGAAGCTCTGGGGTGTCTGGGAAAACGGAAAAACGTAGAACGCGTCGCGATTTCGACGAACGTCATCCTCCACCGAGTACCTTTTGAAGCATTCTCGCATCAACCCTTCATGCATATTCAACACGGAGGGGGGATGCAACGTGTGTCTAAGAGGCGAGATATCTCCGACGTCGATTTCGCGAAAGTACCGGTGAATTTTCATCGTTTGCCAGAGAGAAGCGAAGGAGAAAGTGGGATACCGCATAGAAGAGACAGAGAGAATGGGTCAGGATACGTTTCGGCTGTAGAGTTAATTGGCAAACCGCGATAAGGTGGTTGGCCCCTGATATGCATATGAATGTTGAATATATTCCGTTTGCTGGCTCCGCTTACGTCACTGGCCATGCAAATACCACTTCCGGTTTCGGTAGGACGATTCAGGCCTATCGCTTGACCGAAACGTACACCGTGACGGTCTCTTCCGATGGCTTTGATCGTTTACAGAATTTAACAGGCTGTTTGTTGTGTAAACAGCCACGT